ACACACACACACACACACACACGCACACACATACACACCAACAGATATATACAAATAGAAAACAGAAATATATTTACACACAAGAACAACACTTATCGAAAACATGTATTATGCTGTTGTTGCAGGGAATCGTAGTGGGTTGTGGTGCTTTCACAGTGTATAAATGTATAAGTTGATCATCTGACCTTAATTTTTAGCAATGATAATGTAAGTGAGGCTTATCATCTTCCAGACAAGCCATTATCATTTTCAAATATTATAGGTTTCATGTGAATGTATTCTCGAATGATTATGTATATAATAAATGATGCTTTTGAATGGACCAATTACTTTCCCTTTTCCTTTTTAATCTAATTAGATGACATAAAATTAAAGCATTCATCCATTGGAAAAATTTTTTCATGCACGCTTTCATTACTTCCAGTCTTCACAAATCTTCAGAAAAACAATGATTGGAAAAGTGACGATCAATAATGCTATTTTTACGATCTTTTCCATTATAAGTATTATGCATTATGAGCAGTGCCTAATTATTTCACTGCTATTGACAAGCAATATAAATTGCGATGTGATCAATCAAGAAACGGTTAAATCAAATCCATACCTAGTTTCAATAATATGATGAAATGAAGAAAAATGATGTGCAACACTTCCAAGTACTAACTATTTATTATTCCAGAGAAAAACGAAGAGTTTATTGGCATTCCTAATACAACGATTGAACAATCTTTTTTAAGATTCTTCCCCGGAAAGTTATTTTTGCTGGTGGTGCACCAATTCTTCTCAGCAAGCACATTACTGAGTAATTTCCTATCGCTAATTTTTTTCATTTCACAAAAACAACTTCACAATATCCATCTTCATAATGAACAAAATGATCTGTAATTAATATTTCAATAAACTCTTCCAAGTTACGGCAAATGTTACTACGATAACGATGTGGAAAATGATTAACTGAGAGCAAATATTAAACGAAAGCAACTTATCTTCATTACCACTTCAGAGCAACGGTGATTAATAACATCAAGTAGCACAATGGTAGGACAGACGTCTGCAATCAGGATGAATCATTAGCACAGCCTAGCAAAATAATAGGACTTCCTCAAGGCCTTGGTGATAAAAACTGTTCAATTCGTTGAATGGTTTGCTTTATGTTCTTATCATATATCATACTATGCTTACAATGTTGCAATTTAAAATTGGTCTTTTGCTTGTATAATACTCTATCTAACTTAGGTAATAATTAAATACAATCTTGTGCCCATAAGAAAATGGACAATGGAAATTTTTTAAAGAACATAAATAAGGAATTACAATAGTAACAACAAATACAAAACAACAAAGCAAAAATAAATAGTTCAAATCAACAAATGATATAATATCATGTTGAAATACACATAAGGATTTTCGGCCGTTCTTCATTAAATAACAGTTAAATTTAAGCATATCGAAATTCATGAATATATTGATTTTATTGTCCAGAAAAAATCCTAAATTTATGCGAAATTTACATTCGAAAATGTAAATTAACTAGATGGAATTAAATACATGCTATCGAATTCGTTAATTTCGAACAATTAACAAGAATCTATTTGGAAACAATATGCCTCATTAACGTGGCTGTAAGCTTTTCTAATCGCTTTACATCCTGTATCTGATCCGTATCATACTGCAAGCAGACCACATCATCTGTCATTTTGAGTGTCATTTTGCCTTTTTTATGGTTATACTTGGTTACAAATCTGCAACGAATTGAACTGATCATGAAATTAATTACGATAAACTTCCATTTTGAAGGTGATGAATAATGAAAGATATTTTGTCAAATCAATAGCATCTCCTCAAGCAAGTAAGAGAAAAAATCGATATATATGTTGAAGAGAAATGTCGTTGATAGTCACTGATGAGTTTTTGAGTTTCTTAGGTCTGAGTCTTTTATATCATGTAACATTTTATAAAAAGGATTTTTTGTGGTATCCAATACCGGGATAGAGTGATCAGGTGAGCAGCTAGTAATATTCAGGTAGAATTGATTATAAAATTTTTGCTCACCATTTATGGTCTTTTTTATCAATTTCAACTTAATATCTACAAATAAATCTTTGTTGGAACTGTGCAAATAATCTTTTTAAATGACTTTACTGCATAAAAAAAAGCTGAACGATAACTAGTTTTACATTTTTTACATAGTTTTACATAGAGGCTAGTGAAAAAATGTAAAACTAGTTACCACTCGTTAACAATTAACACTGAGCTACTGATTTAACAGTTGTTCAATTTTTAGAAATGCAAACTTACCAATATATTCTAATTTTAAGAAAAAAGCACTTTCTAAAAGAAATGAATGCATTATAAAAGCTTCCATCTTAAAATAAGAGACATGATAACTTCTACATTCAACATCAACTCTTTTAAACTTTCTCAGCAATTTAAAATTTTGGTCAACCTGCAGCGTGTTGGATTGCTAGTGTACAACCGATCAACAGCTTTACTAAATTCTTCCCAATTCGTAAAATACATTCAAACGAATTCTAAGATTTTCCTTGCAATCTGAAAAATTCAATCTGAAATCTAAAAGCTATCTACAAATCCTATTATCGTGTGCTAGATCATATCATGTGCAATAATCTTCTGTTCACGCAATTATAAAATCAGCGTGAAGACAAAACAAATTATAATAGCTACAATTTAGAGATATTTAAAAAATTTTAAAAGAATTTTAAATCATTTTACGAATATAATTCAGTAATCAAACACTCTTCAAACCCAACTGCTTTAGATAATGTCAAACCCACATCTTCAAGAGTAGACCGTGCAAGAAAAGCATTTCCACACCGCATCCACAAATTCTAGACAGTTGTAATGTGAAAAATTTCGTTCAAACCAGAAAATAAAGTGCTATTGTTTAACAATGATGCAGATTATGTCAAACTGCTTGGGTCTTTGTGAGAATTTTTGTTTCAATTCTATGTCATTTTGAAATCAGCAAACTGTTAAGGATTGGGGAGGCGTGGAGATAGCTCTGTATGATAATGGGAACAAGTCCGGAAATTGACAAGTTATTAGGAATTTAGAAGCATTATAAATTTTAGAATAAAACATGTGATTTTATGAAAGTTTTTTAAACCTTTTTTTTAAAATGGTAACATAAAAGGAAAGAAAAAGTGTGTTTGAAAGAAATAAATTTTAAAGTTTTTTTTTAATTTAGACATATTACTCCAACATTACTGCACCCATTCATTTATCACTTTTTCATATTAAGCTTTTTTACTCTTTATTCTTAATTTTATTGAATTGGATGGGATTTTTTTCTTCTGAATTATTTTTCATTATCAACTCATTCCTAGCTCTTTTGAATTTCCAAACAAAGAATGTTGTAAAATAATAAACTTGATGTAGTATGAAAATTTTTCCGGAAACCAAAATACACCCGTTGTTTCGGCACATTTTACTTGTTCCATCCGGGTCATTTCATTATCGAAATATTAATCTGGAGATTATTATGATAACCAGAATAATTTTCTAGTTAAACTTTGTTTCTGAATTTAACAGAATGATATGATGGAAGTACCAACAATTGCTTTTCCATATCGGTCAGCGGATGAAATAATTGTTGGTAATTTGAATCCTCAACAGAAATATTCTTTACCGAATTAGTTCAAATATGGGAATTGCAACTAACAAATGAAAAGTTCATTCCATGAGGAAAGTGTAATTTATTTATACAAAGCAAGATAATTGTTTGAAAATACTTTTATTGTTGCGGAGCAATTTAATATAATTAGTGGTATAGTGCAGTAAACACTGAACACAGTCCATGTGTAGTCATTGACAGTTAGTAACTGGGATAACAATTATCAGTTAAGATTATGAGATAATTTTTATCGGAATTAATATTACATTATTTCATTTCAAACTATCTGCCATTTTGACTTATCAAAAATTGCTATCTTTGATATGTAAAATATCTTTTGTTTTTAAACTTTTTGCCCTCATTTTTGCATGAAATGGATCCATGCAAAAATGAGGGCGAAGAGTGCTTCAGTTTCATCAGAGAGTGCTGCTAATGCAATCAGTGCCACATCGATAGCTATATTGATCAATTGAATTATAAAGGTAATGGAATGAAATTAAGCTCGATGGCCTCGGCTGTTACCTGTGCGCAGAAAACTGAATTTTTTTGGGTCTAGAATCTATCAAATTTTTATTTTCTAAAATACGTTTGATGTTTGAGAGAAGACGGAAAAAGAAGGAATCGGAAAATTTTAACTTTAGAAATCTTTTTACATATATTATTGTAAATTTGTAGACATGCAATTTACTGCATGTAAATTTCGAATAACTTACATAGGGAATGAGATAAAAAGTATTTTTTACGACTTTTTCATGCGTTTTCAAATATTTCGTACATAATTTGCCGTAAAAAATATAATTAGTTCAAATTAACTGTATACAG